ATATGAAAATTGAAACGAACATGATTTTAAAGTTGTTATTGATGTTAAAATCCATGATTAATCACTGAATAACCATGTCAAGTCTCTAATTCGATAAATTCGACCCATGTGAACTATGTGACCCATGTGACTCACCTGTGACCCGTGACTCGGTGGCACTTATAAAATACGGTCAAATCTCGATTTTAAAGTGGAGAAGAATATGCAGAAAAACCTACCGTTTCTAATGGGAGATCGTTGTCCGACGATGACGAAGATGAACCGTTCTGAGACGCAGACGAAGACGAAGTAGAAGGCACATGTGTTCTTGGATCCATGGGTGTTTAATTTTTCATAGAAATCGCAAGAGAGATACCGAAATTATAAGGAAAATCGCCTCAGTTTCTGAAAATCATGAAAAAGAAATAGTGGTTCTTGAAATCGCACAAGAGAGAAAGAGAGTTTTCGAAATAATACAAGAGAGAGAGAGTTCAACAGAAGAGAGAGAGAGGGTGAGAGTTTATCGAGAGAAAGAGATGGGGGTTTCTTTTTTTTTTAAAAACTGTCCTTTTTTAATTGAAAAGGTATGGTCTTTTTTGTCTTTCCCTTAAAATCTAGGGTTATTTATGTCTTTAACTCATTTAAATTTTTCTTTTTTTTAGATTTAATTTTTGGAGGGTAGGGTGTGAAGTAAGGATAGCATTTTAAGGGTATATTTGCTATATCCCCTTTTAACTTCGTATAAAACCAAACAATATGGTTACATTGGATGGCTTCTGCATTGGTAGTAGCGCCTGCATCTGCGTCTGCACATGATCAGACGACAGCAGTGAAGAGCGAAGAAGCGGGATCGTCAAAGAAGCGGGAGAAGAAGAGAACTCCTCTTGCTGTTCAGGTCTACTCATCTCTCTCTCTCTCTCTCTCTCTCTCTCTCTCTCTCTCTCTCTCTCTCTCTCTCTCTTGTGCGAGAAGAAAACACGGTTTTAGTAATAAATGAACTGTTGTGTTACGTGCGGGTGGCGACGAGGAGAAGAACAGAGGGAGAGAACGGGGAGGTTAACGCTGAAGGACATTGGGAAATACTTCCACCTCCCAGTAGAGGAAGCGGCCAGGATAATGAAGGTCTGCCCCACGGTGGTGAAGAAGATCTGCAGAAGAGGCGGCTTAGCTCGATGGCCCCACAGAAAGGTCTGAATCTGATCAACAATGAACAACAAAGATCAAATTTTTTTTTTGAATCTGATGTAATAGAGAGATGTTTTTTTTTCTTTTAAGAAAACTGCAGATAAGGAGCATCGAGAGGAAGATTTCGAAGTGGAAGAGTGTCGGCCAAGAATCCAGAGGAAAGGGCTCGTGCTGAATCTGAGATCCAGATTCTTGAGAATGAGATCGAAAAGATTCGTTCCGAAGCTCTCCGAGACTTTGATCTGTAATACTATGCTTCCTCCCTTGTTTCAGACATGTTCTTGTAATAATAACGTAACGGTACAACAATTTTAAAATCAAAGCTTTGGACTCGAAAGGCGTGCGTGCCAATACTACGTCGTTTCGCAAGGCTCATTATGCCACGTGTCTTCATACTATTGGATAACATTCTCCGCAGACAGAGACTGCGATCCATGTGATCCGGGCCCCAATCCGGTGGAAATATCGAGCGAAGGGATAGCCACTTCCAGGGTGGAGACCGTCTTTTCTTCTCCTTGCAATCTACCTACTCGCTTTCTCTGACGATCGGGAATCTCGCCGGCGGCGATCTAGACAATCGGGATCATCGGAAGTTTTCTCGTTGAGAGAAGATGAAGATTTTTGTCAAAACTCTCAAGGGAACTCACTTCGAGATCGAAGTGAAACCTGAGGATACGGTATGTAAATCTCGAGGCTTTTCCCTTTGTCGTATCAGAGAAACGCTTGAATTCCGTATCCGAGGCGGTAATTCGATCGAATTCCCCGTGTTCTTGCGCAAGTTCCGGCTTTGATTCTCTTATGTGGTCGGGATTAGGGTTTGCTATGTTCATAATTTCTTTTTATGATCTGGAAGTTTAGTACTTCATAGTCGTTTATTTGGGTTTCCCATTTTATGCCTGGAGAATTTAATTTGATTAACCGTATGCTATTCATCGATGTCAACAGTGTCCAGCTAGAATAATGCTGAGAAAAGCAGTTTTGACATTGCAATAGTTTGGAGATTGTTATATTTGTTTCACCTTTCAAATAACAAAGTTATTTTCCATTTTATATACCTGGATTTTGATCTCATAACTTGATAAACCTACCTTAGTCTCCGAGGTTACTAGTTTATTGCCTGTGGATGTCTCTGGTTTAGAAGTTGTGACTGATGGCTTGGGAAACAAATTGTGTTCAGGTTGCTGACGTGAAGAAGAATATAGAGACGGTGCAGGGCGCTGATGTATATCCCTCTGCGCAACAGATGCTTATTCACCAAGGGAAAGTGCTAAGAGATGAAACCACTATGGAGGAGAACAAAGTTGCTGAGAAGAGTTTTATTGTCATTATGCTGTCCAAGGTTGTTTTAGATTCGGGAACAGAAGTTTTTGTTTAGATTTTGGATTTGTCATTGTGATGCTGATCTGTGTTTGTTCGGATGCTAACAAACGCAGAGTAGTAAACCTGCGTCATCGAGTGGGGCCTCTACTGCATCTGCTGCTCCTACAACTCAGGTGAGTTGACCCATGTTTCACTTAAAGCTGATGCTGTTATCGGCAGATTGACTGGGATATTTGTACTTCAAGTTGTCTGAAAAACATAGACTCTGCTCCTTATGAAAGCTAAAATGAGCTCTTTTTCATAGTCATGTTAATAGTCTTGTGTATCTAATGCAATTGGTTGATCAATTAGGCTCCTCCTGCACCTCTCGCATCAACACAGCCTTCTACCTCCCCTCAGACTCCGGCGCCAGTAGCAATGTGAGCTGTAGCTACTGTTTTTCCCTAATGGAACTTTTGTCTGGAAGTTAATCTTTTATTTCAACCTATGGTAAAATTATTTCCATATTGTCTGTTTCCATTCTTCCTCACATGTTCAGGCCACAAGCTGCACCTGAAACAGCACCTGCACCTGCACCTGCTGTGTGAGTATTTTTTACCGTTTGTAAATCTAATCCATAGCTAAAATTTGCTGCACGTGTCCGAGGAGTTGTTTACTGCTTACTCTTGATCTCTTTTCTAATTGTTTTGGTTGAGATAGAACTCAGACCGATATTTACGGACAAGCAGCATCAAACCTGGTAGCTGGAAGTAACTTGGAGGCTACCATTCAGCAGATTCTTGATATGGGTGGAGGAAGCTGGGATCGTGATACTGTTGTCCGTGCACTCCGTGCTGCATATAACAACCCTGAAAGAGCTGTGGAATATCTCTACTCTGTAGGTTTAGTCTTTCAATCTTTTTGCTGATATACCCATTTGTAGAAAAAAGCTCCATTTGAGAGGCCTGCCTTTTGTCAGCTGAGGCTTAGAGCTTGCCTTTGCCACTGTTGTAGCCATTTTTTTTTCAGATTAAGTGGAATACTGTATGAAAAAGTTCTATGTTTGGTGCTTTGTATGAGCTATAAAAGTAGTTTTGACAAGCTGGTATCAATGTCTCAGGGGATACCTGAGCAAGCAGAAGTTCCACCAGTGGCTCAAGCCCCGGCTAGTGGTGGTCAGCCAACAAATCCTCCGGCACAGGCTGGGCAACAACCTGCAGCAGCACCCACAAGTGGCCCTAATGCAAATCCGTTAGATCTCTTCCCGCAGGTGCGAATTTTCAACCTTGCACTCCATTTGAGATACAAAACGTAGCATTGGTTCATATGAACTCTGGTTATTTAGCTCAATGTGACTAAATTTATTCTGTCTGCGACAGGGTCTGCCTAATGTTGGATCAAATACAGGCGCTGGGACACTTGATTTCCTGCGCAACAGCCAACAGGTGCGAGCTATTATACATCGACCAGATTATGAAACGTGTACTTGGACTTTTACATTTAATGTGTGTTTTTTTTCCGCTTTTGCCATGTGGTGTCTTCCAGTTCCAAGCTCTCCGTGCGATGGTGCAAGCAAACCCTCAAATCCTACAGGTATTTCGATCTAAATGCACAGAAGGAGTGACGTGAGAGTTGTCTTTACTAAACGACTGATTCTGGTCGCAATGTCTTGGATCAACAGCCTATGCTACAGGAGCTGGGGAAGCAAAATCCACAGTTGATGCGGCTCATTCAAGAGCATCAAGCCGACTTCTTACGCCTAATAAACGAACCCGTTGAAGGGGGAGAAGGGTATATATAATCGCATAAATAATCGTGCAGTAAAGTTAAAAGCTTTCTAACAGTAATAATGTGGCATTGGGTTAAATGGAAAGAGCAGGGGAAACATAAGCAGCCAGTTGGGGGGAGCAATGCCGCAGGCCATCCAAGTGACCCCTGAGGAACGTGAAGCGATCGAACGGGTATGTTTCCTTTTGCCTCTTACAATTCCTAAAACTTCATGTCTGTATATGATGATTAAATAAAAAACCCCATGGTTTTTGGGGGGATGGGGATGAAGCTGGAGGCGATGGGGTTTGAGAGAGGGCTGGTGCTGGAGGTGTTCTTCGCATGCAACAAGAACGAGGAGCTGGCTGCCAACTATCTTCTCGATCACATGCATGAGTTCGATGAATAGCCAACCCCCAACCCCCCCCTGTGTC